AAGCGTCATAGTACGGCGGCGTTGGCTACGGCCACACCAAAGACATTACACGCGAATATGGCCCCGGTCCACTGGATTTTGTGTACAAGATCATTCTACCCATGGAGGTTTTCTGGCTATTGACTCTCTGCCTTACCAAGATGTCCATCCTATACTTGTACCTGAGGATATTCCCAATCCCATGGGTTACGTACTGCTCATACGCGGTCATGGCGCTTGTTACTGCGTGGACAGTGGCAATTTTGCTCGTCTGCCTCCTCATCTGCCAGCCCTTCAGGTTCCACTGGGACAAGACCATTCCTAGAGGATATTGTGGTAACCAGCCCCTTGTCTACATGATTTTTGGCGTCGCCAACGTGGTTACTAACATCATGGTACTTATCTTGCCCATGTATCCGATATCTTAATTGCGAATGGCAACGTACAAAAAAGTGATTATCAGCACTGTTTTTGGCCTGGGCGTCATGTAGGTTGAGCATCAACTTACGAATTGACCTTGACCTAATGGTGAATAGTACATGTGTCATCAGTGCGTTCCGTGTCTACGCCATGTCCACGCTGGACTTTATGGACGTTCAATACACCACGCCCAAGGCCGACATGTTCAGTTGCATAGAGCCCTGCCTTGCCGTGGTACTCGCCTCAATCCCTTTGATGCGCCCATGGCTAGATGTGATTTCATCCAAGCCGCGCAGGTCGGCCGAAAGGCGCGGGCATATCGAATATCACGTTGTCGGTGAAGCTGCGTCAAGCAATGGTGGCATTGATTGGCTGGCTGGTTATAGAAAACACTCCAAGCCCCAGGAGCGACAGAATGTGCAGCCAACTCTCGCCCAGTCTTCAGACAACGAAGAAGAAGAGGAGCTGCCCCCAAGGCGTGAGTGCAGCAGAAGAATTACCGCCGATATGCGACCGTAACCGAGTTGCTTAGCTTTATGCAACTTGGGATTGAAAGGGGTGTTTTGTACAGCATGTTTACAACTACCAGACGGAAGCGAATAAATTCGAGTTGTCCGGTACGATCCATTGAACTTGATATTGTACCATAGTGATATGATGTCTTCCTCGCTTATGAAAAAAGTGATGTGTTCAGGCGTCTACATGTTGCAGGTATCGTTCGACATGGATCTCCCATATTAGTCGTTCTCCCCCCCCCCGGCCCCCGTACTAAAAGATCACGCAATACCATGGGCTAAAAATGAGCCCCTTGCGTCTGGTCTGGGACCTCGATGCGACAGAGCTTCAGATCATAGATGCTAGTGTGCCCGTAGCGCGAACCCAATACCCTCGAACGAAAGCGGTCTATCGTTGTACTGTACTTTTGTGTTTTGAAACCTCGAGCTGATTCAGCAGCCGCTAGAACTAAGCCGGATGAGATGATCGACAGTCATTTGCTCAATGATCCGTCTGGCTCCTATTAGTCGAATTGGTCGTGAAGTCTTATAGTAAGATCGCTTACGAGGAAATCAGCGACAGGCCTGGAAAGCATGTACCAGTAGGCAGGGAATATCTTACTATATCATGATTATTTTGACGCGAAGAAAAATGGCTATCTCCGTCCAATAGTTCAGTGAGAAGTTTGCCAAGCTCTGATGACCTGTCGGTTTCATAAATGGGAATATCTCACCATAACCCATCGCAGATGTTCTGACATCAAGCTTACCGCTTTTCGACGGGGAGATTCCTGGTTCGAAAGCACCAACAATCTCAGTTGGGAGGCTGACTCATCAACATTTTCTCCAGATACTGCGCAGATGATCGGCACGCTCCAACAATTTGCACACTGGCTTCTCTCTGTTGCTATAATAATGTTCTTTGCTACTAAAAGTGGAATATAGGAGTCTCGTCCTTTGCTTTCCTTCCTTTATCTGCGCGTGCATAGTGAGAGGTCTGCTCACTTCAATAACAATCTGTCCACTGTACCCCCACTACATAAGAAGCCACCAATACTGAGATTGGACTTCTTAACAATGGCGAGCTAGCTCTCAACGCTATAAAGGTGTATAGGTGGACGTACGTAGCCTCATAAGGGTACATGCCAAGAACAATCAAGGATTACTCCATACTGCTAAGCATTGTTGCTTAACACACGGTATCGACAGTTCCTTTGGATACAAGTAGAGCTTGATCATGGAAGAATGAATGGCCTGAAAAACTGGTATAGCACTCCCTGGCTGCGCACAGCAGGGGTCGTAACGCACCATGTTTTACACATATCTTCCAGATGCTGGCACTGATGCAGATGCCGTAACCATATCCAACATTTCCTAGCTCTTGTATCAATACCCAGATCACCAAACGATGCTCAGCAATGAGCTACCAGACGTGGCATGCTCGGACAGAGTCATCGAGGACCGTTTGCTGGTGGGAAAGCCCTTTCTACCTAGCATTATCAATGAAGTCTTTGACGTCTCCGCCCGTTCCCTCTCGTTTTCCACGCGTGACGCCTTCTCACAGCAAGCAAGCTCACCTGCCACACGCATGCTGGAAACCACAGCGCACTCGCGCCAAGTCCTCAAGCTGACCTGTTTGCGGGGCCTATAACGAGGGTTTATTCGGTGCAAGCCCCGTACACCACGAAGGGCCATGTCGACATGGCGCCACAATATGTCGTGCTTTCTAGCGGCATAAGCACAGAGGGATTATTCGCAGTCAAGGAAACGGAGGGCGAGGCCATCCAACGAGACAGCAGAGGAGGGTCAAAAGAGGATGCATCTGCGAGGGCCCGTCGGCTGCTCGGGCTTGGGGGCCTGCTAGCTGCTACTTAGTGAGGGGCAACGCGCAACCCCACCACGACGACGTAAAAAGCGCCATGTTCCCGTCGGCAACCCGCAGTGACATCACGCCTGGTCGCTCTCTCGCCAACTCGCTGGCCCGTTGGACATTTCCACCCTGGCCGGTTTGCCGTTCTGCGTCTAAGCCAGGGCAGCGCCTCTGCTTGCATACGCATGTCCCTTGCCTGCGCGCCACGGCCGCCTGACATGCCGCTGCCGGCCGCCGTATGGCCCCTGGGCCCCGGAATGGCTGGGCCCGCTAGTACCTGTTAAGCCGTGTGGTTTGTAGGGATTTCAAGCTCAACAGCATACTTGTGGATTCAGGCCTGCGGTACCAGCTGTGATTGGCAGTTTCTGGTGTCTGGCGCTGCCGTATAAGAGTCTGCTAGTGCCCCTCTTGTTTTCCGCCCCAAGGAAGTCCCTGGGTGTGCGCACTGTTGCCGTTGAGATTGGAATATATCCTGGCTTTCCTCTGCATCCTTGGAACTGTAGCGACTCGTTTTTTTTTGTTCTCTTTTTCGCAGGATACTTGGAAGATAGATCCCGCGCAAGAATACAGAGCTGCCTATCATGACGAGCAAGCCCATCTTTGTGGCTACTCACCCGAGAGCCTGCTCAACGGCTTTCGAGAGGGTATGCTTGGAATTATATTTCTCGTTTGCGGAATACTCATCTTAGTCTAGGTCTTCATGACCCGCCACGAGACACTTCAATGTGTCCACGAACCTTTTGGCGACGCCTACTACTTTGGACCTGAACGCCTCGCTGAACGCTACGAGAACGACGCGAAGGCGAGGAAAGAGAGCGGCTATGAAGACAGCACATACAGAACCATTTTCGATCGCATTGCGAGAGAAAACTCAGAGGTTCGTTTACTACTATCTTTCTTTTTTCTTCTCGCTGTCATTGCCCCTCTTCAAATCATCTCATATCTCCAATCCCACGGCTTATCATCCAATTCTGACACCTCTTTGCTTTTCCTCGTGTTTCGGTGTTCTTCCAGCATTTTTCGCAATCCACCAATCGCATCACATCCTATCCACCGGCACGCTTGAAGCTGCATCCCACCATTTCTTGGGCATTTTGGATTGGCCAGGACCGTTTCCATCGTAACACAGACGAACACAACCTCTGCATGCATCAAAGCCTCAAATCCCCGTCTTTCCATACCGAAAAAAAGCCAAGGGCATCTTCCTCAGAGACCCCAACGCCCTACTCTCGACTTTGCATTGACCTCTACACCCACCAGCCATGGATCTCCTCGAGCCCAGCACTAGCCGCTCTTTGGATGAGAAACCATACTTACCCAAGCACAGGGCAAACGCGTATTCGTAAAAGACATGGCCCAATACTGGATTCCGCCGTCAGGCAAACCAGCCACCATCGCACCGTCACTCATCAACTACCGACGGGGCGTAGGCACAAACACGACGGAACTCTCGCCCGTGACCACACGCTCTGCTGCGTCCAAGCCGCCATACCCATACGACACGCCCGGCGAGCCCGGCAACCCGACGGTGATCCCCAAGGACCTCCTCGCAACGTACCACTTTACGTTTCTGATCCGCCACCCCAAATACAGCATCCCGTCGTACTACCGGTGCACGATCCCGCCGCTCGACGCCATGACGGGCTTCTACAACTTCCGGGCCGACGAAGCGGGCTACGACGAGCTGCGCCGCCTGTTCGACTTTTTGCGCGCGGAAGGCCAGATCGGGCCCAAGTTTGCGGGCGCAAAGGGCATGGATTCAAACGACCAGGTGAATGGGCACACGGGCGACGTGGAAATCTGCGTCATCGATGCGATGACTTGCTGGATAACCCGAGCGGCATGGTCGAGGCATTCTGCAAGACGACGGGCATCGAGTGGGATCCAGGGATGCTGCAGTGGGACTCGGACCAGGACCAGGCGGTTGCCAAGGCGGCGTTTGAGAAGTGGAAGGGGTTCCACGAGGATGCGCTGGATAGTGATCGGTTGAGGCCGAGGACGCATGTGAGTTTTTTTCTGCTGTTTTTTTCTGTTGTTGTTGTTGTTGTTGTTGTTGTTTTCCACAGTGGCGCGGATTTGGGATGGTGCGGGAATGCGTGGCTGACTCATGGTTGTAGAAGAAAGAAGCAAAATCGGATGAGCAGATGTATGCCGAGTGGAAGGAAAAGTTTGGCGAGGAGGGCGCCAATGTGATTCGGGATACGGTTGCGGCTAATGTCGAGACGTACGAGTATCTGAAGCAGTTTGCTATCAAGGTTTAGCATGGGTTGGGCAACGATATGGAATAGCAGGGGTGTCGAATTGCCAGGGCGGGGATATATGAAAGTATCTTCTTTTTCGTTAGATTAGGCTTTGGTCATATATACAGGATACAGGGAAGTGAGGAATCCTTAGAGGAAGAAGACATTATCGACGTAGATACAGGGGTTAATTCACGTCAAGACTAGTAGGAAACGCTCAAGGCCATGTATATTCTATACTACAAATTACGAGTATGATTAGATTTTTGATTTTGCTGCCAAACCCATGGCATGATGCTAAAACAAATTAAACCCCCCCCCCCCCCGCCATACAAATACACGTAATTGCACCCGTCTAAGGAGCGTATCACTCAACCATGCAACCTGTAAACTCGTTTGTTTCCCTAACCGAAAAAAAGACGGTTAAATGCAGAAAAGGCATGGCAAATGCGAGAAGGGGTAGCCATTCCAAACGATGAACCGTCAACACCAATGCCGGAAACACCTACGCTGGTTGGATTTAATGATGGAGTGAAAACAAGAAAGGCAGAAGAAGCAGAAGAAGAAGAAGAAGAAGAAAAAGAAGAAGAGAAAAAGGAAATCACACATGCATATCGCCGAGTTCAATCTCTCGTCTCCGCTCTTCACGGCTGAGATTTCTCGATTGGCTGCTTCGGCCGCCGGAGCTCTGGGGCCGAATGGTAGTGCGACCGCGGTCGTGCAGCCGCTGCCATGCCTGGTGTTCGCCCAGGCTATCCGGGCAGCTGTCTGCTCTGTCGCGGTTCCAGCCTGAGGGCGGGTGGCCGGGTGTGGCGACGAGCTCCCGCGTGTCCGTGTCTTGCTCGTCGTGGTTGGGGTCTACGGGCAGGTCGATGCGAAAGGTGCTGTTTGCGTCTAGGCTGGGGCGCGAGTCCGACTTGGACAGCAGCAGGGCCATTTGCTGGCTCACGCGGTCGTCGTCGGTGTAGACGGGCTGGTGGAGGTGCAGGTGGTGGGCGGGCGGCAGGGGCTGCGAGGGCGAGCGCACGGCAGTGGGATACATGTTGACGACGAAGTTGTTGTAGTAGGACTGCTCTGACCACAGGTTGGCGCGGGCGTCGGGCTGTGGCGCGGGCTGGTGTAGGCGGGCGTACGTGTAGAGGCAGAGCGACGAGTAGACGAGCGTGGCGACGGCGCTCAGCGCGGTGCCCATGGTGGCAGCGGTGCCCCAGCGGTATGCATGCGACGCGAGGAAGTTGTAGGCGATGGACGCGAGGCCGAGGGCCGACGACGTGAGGGCGGGCCTGGAGAGCCGAGGGTTAGCGTCCTGTGTAGTAGTAGTAGTAGTAGTAGTAGTTGTAGTAGTAGTTGTATACGGGGTGGTGCGCACAGGAAGACGCCCTCGGCCTGGAAGCGCCGGTCGCGACAGGCGAAGCAGAGGAGCACGGTGAAGGAGTAGCCGGCCGTCAACAGGGCGACGACAAAGACGGCGAGCACCGTGTCGGTGAAGCGCAGCTGGGCGTCTTTGGCATACAGGCCGGGCAGGACGAGGTAGCTGCGAGCATTTTAGTTTGCAAAGGCCCGAAGCCAAGTCGCGTCTGGTCGCACGCACCCTGCCACGATCATCCACGACGCCGCCATGGCGATGAGGCGCCAGTACCACGGCGTGCTCTCCTGGCCGCCGTGGCCATGGCCGTTGATGGTGGCATAGCTCTCGTGGGCTGCGCGCATTGCGTCGGTGGGATGCGCCTGGGCAGCGGGCGCGAGATGCTCATCCACGGCAACTGGCCGCCCGCACGAGTGACGAGAATCGCAGGCAGCCCGCTATCCAGGCCGCTCCGGTCCGCCGAGTGCAGTGCAGTGCAGTGCAAATACAGCCGGGGCAGCGCGTGCACGGCGCAGTGGGATCCAGCAGGCGGGGGGATGCCGACGGCAGGCGATGACACGGGAGAGGTTTTGCAGGTCTGGGCAAGGCGAAGACGAAGAAGAAGAAGATGACGACGACGACGACGAAGACGAGGAGAAGAGTCGAGTCTTCTAAGCCGTGAGCTGAACGGGGCCATGATGGACACCGACGGCGCCAGCGTGCCCTGCCCTACTCTGCTGAGCGAGGCCGACGACGCCTGCAGACGTGCTCAGCCACTGGCCGTCTCCCGTCTCTCTGGTACACGCCCCGGCCTGTCACGCTGCCTGCACCATTGTCATGGCCATTACACCTCCGTTGCCCCCTCACCCCCCCATGTCTGCCCTCGCCGCCAGCGGGCTGATTTTTCTTTGTTCGCCCTCGACCGCAACCCCAGGCCAAGGGCGGCGCACACGGCCTGCAGCCTCATCGCGGCCAATTCACCGGGCTGTGCCGCAGCCCCATCACCTCACTCCCACTCCCACTCCCCCGTGTGGCTTACAAGACATGCTGACGCCCATGTGTCATGGGTCCGTTGCGGCCACGCACACGCACGCACAAGGCCAGGGCTTGTACCATGGTACGCCTGTCCTTACCTGGCTCTCTCACTCCCCATTCCCAGTTTCTATAATTGTCATTGTTATTGTGCTTTTCCCCCGCCACCGGTGCTGCCAAACTAACAGTCAGCACCTAGTGCCCGCCGCCCATGCTAGTCTTGGCTCCCACCCGCTGTCCCCCACCCCATCTTTACCTCTGTTGCACCAATCCAACCTCAATTATATACGAACTTTCTCCCATACTCTCCATCAATCGAATTAGTCCAAGGACTGGCTCACCATCTTCAGTAGTATAGTGGTCAGTATTTCCGCTTGTCAAACACCTGATTGACAGCGCGCGGGAGACCGGGGTTCAATTCCCCGCTGGAGAGCATCTTTCTGATTCTTTTTTTTGCATTTTGTCTCCATACGCTAATCAGGCCTAACGGCCTGCCGCCGCCGCAGCCAATGAAATTGCTTATGCTCCGCGCTAGTCCATCACCTCAATAATGATAGGTAGCTCCACGTATGTTGAATTACTGCGACAACGCATAACTACTATTCTTACTTTATATAAAGTTGACGAGAGAACGTCTATATATAAAGAGGTAGCGGTATTGCAGAAGCATGCGAAAGTGTTTCCTGGAATTTACAGTGCTGCTCGCCCCTTTTGCCGGCAGAAAACCTCAAGTTAAATCATGTCAAGTCGATGCAACTAGGGAGACCTTTAGCTATCTAATTTCTATTCTTTCATGTCTTGCATTGTTTTCTTCAGGGGTCGACTTCGGGTGCGCAGCCTCTACCCGCTATCCAGTCTAACTCAATCCATACTTGCTACAACATCGACTTTGTTTGACTGCTTACGTAACCTATAGTTTTTAACGTGTTCCACCAGTCATCCGGCCACACCAGTCATCCGGCCACCCCACCAAACTT